ATTTGGTTTTTTTTTTTTTTTTTTTTTTTTTTTTTTTCCTTTTCGACCGTTGGTGTCGAAAATTGACCAAAAATCGACCTGTATGTGTCGAAAATTGCCGACGGGTTTCAAAAAAAAAAACTTCAAAATCGACTTCGAAGCTCAAAAAAGACATCGATACTTACCTTAATGGCTTCTCTTTCCACATATACTACCATATTATTGTCTTATAACTCCATTTTATAAGTTTTGTGGGGTTTTGATTTTTTGAATTTGGAGATGTTTTGGAGGATTTAAGAAGATGAAAAAGATAGGGTTTAATTGGGTTGTCGCGGCAGTTACGAGCACGTACGGTGGCGTTCGGCGGCGGCGGTGTCGGCGGCGGCGGCGGCGGCGGCGGCGGTCAAGGTTGGAGAGGAGAAGAAATGGTGGAGGTTTTTTTTTTTTAACAACAAAGGGTTTTTTTTCTTTTTTTTTTTATTTGGTTTTTGAATAGGTAATTTCTAATAAAATTTGATATAATTGATATTTTGTATGAAAGGGGGTTTTTGTAATTTTCTTTTTATTTTGGTTTTAAAGTAAGAAAAAACTTATAAATATGTACTCAATTGTGGTTTCAACTAGGTAGTATCAACTAAGCAAAAATTAGTATTCAAAATAGTTGCCCCCTTTGAACAATGAGTCCAACTAAAAATTAGTTGGATCAGACCTAGTTGAAGTCAATGGATCCAAGGGAATTTCCATTGCATGCACTTTAATTGTTGTATGTTGTATCAATTAATCACTTTATTTGTTCCATAATAACCGTATATTTTGAAAAATATTCATATTTCAAATTATCTGTTACTTTCGATTTTCAGTACTGCACTGCATTAACTGCATATTTTTTTGTTTTAACCTTATTAATTCAACTCCAAGTATTAACTCTTTCTTATCACATCATTAAATGATCAGTGTTATCTTAGTCTTTTGAATGAATCTTTCCCTAAAATCGATCAAGACACATTTATTCACATTCTTAATACATTTGCAAAACTGAAAAACGACAATGAACAGAGATCTATGCTAAAAAAAAAAACAAAAAAAAAGAAATACCTCATCATTAGGTAGACCTAATTGAGCGGTGCTCATGGTCTTAGCCAGCAGCATCCGCATGGAACGGTCATCCAAAAAGCTCGTCGTAGAGTGGTCGTGCTTGAATTTGCCTCCGCTGTAGCAAGTGCAGCACAGATCGTACGTCTTGGGGTAATTCTTTTCACAGATGGTGCACGAAAAGTAGGGGCCTAGTAGCCAACCGCGGCAGCTTCCGTCGCATATCCTCATCCCGCATTTCTGCATATAGTGAAGCACTAAGACCTCCTCGAAATCCAAGCTCCCGTCGCCGTTCTCGTCGAGGCAGTTGAAAAGCGACTCGTGCGTGTAGGCACGGCGTACGAGGCTCTTGTACTCGGCAAGGTTGACTTTTCCGTCGCAGTCGCCGTCGAGCGACTGGAAGAATTTCTTGGCCGCTCCTTTCTCTTCCTCTGTTGCTCTCAAGTACTGGGCCTTTGCCACTCTACGTATCTCGTTCATGATCGAACGATATCGATCGATCGATATCTGGTTTTTATTTCTTCGTCAAATGGAATATAAAAGAAGATGATTTTTATGATGATCTGGTAACTTGGCATGATATATTAATTTAAAAGTGTGCTATTGGTTGTGTTCATGAAGTGGTGACGTATATAATTATTAAAGAAAAGAAAGCACGACCTGGAGTGATTAATGATCGATGATCGGGTCTTTCTCTCAATTTGTGTTATAGATTAATCGATCTACGACTTTATAATCTTATTTATATTTTGAATATTATAAGTTTAAATACATATAATCATATATACAATTTGTTTCTTGTCTAACTATACCTATAATTTTTAAGATGATGACAAGGAAATATTATATGTATACATTAGTTTTGTAAATGATGGGGAATGTCAACTCTCTCCACTAGTTGTTGGTCACGTTATAATTATAACTGCGGCAAAGTTACGGTCACTCCCGAGGTACGGCTAAATTACGAAAAACACCATCTTGTTTAGGTAATTACATCCACTCCTCATTTTAAATATTTTTATATAAAATTTATGTAATTCGGTTATTTACCGAACCAAATCGTATATTTAGTTCGGTAAACGACATAAAATGTTGGCGTCCCAAAATTTCGGTTCGATTTTACCGATTTAACATCCCTAAATTTACCTATGGGCGGTATTTTCTTAAAATAGTACATAGCTGAGTGGGTGGCTGTAATTACCCAAACATGATGGGTGTTTTCGTAGTTTGACCATAATTCATGGGTGGCAGTAATTTGCCCTTATAACTAATTTACCCAAATTGTTTTTCATTTAAATGATAAATTACCATGTATAATTTTTATTTCGGATGATTGGTATTATAAATGCAATTTCCCAAAAAAAAAAAAAAAAAAAAAGGACCTTGAGATAATCTTCCTCAATCCGAACAACTTGCGATAAACAATTAAATTAATGTCGAAGAATTCATCTTAATGATGACAAGAATTAGATCGGAATACACATTTGGGATAAAGTGCACCGAGTTGTATATTTCAAAGATGGTGGTTTCTTCCATTTTATGGATGTTCAAATAATGGTGAATAAGGAGAGCCGTGTTCGATGGGTAAAGTCCTTTGAATAGGTAAAGTTCAGGAAGGTGTAAAGACTAAACCGTAATGGTTTCTTCCATTTTACACCAACCCCCTTACAGTGTGACTTTTCACGGATTTTATTTAGGGTAAAAAGCATTTTACAGTTTTAAATATTTTCTTTTATTTCTCACCTATTTAACAGAAGGTATAATAGATTGCACACATTTCTATTAAAAAACTCAATCAACAATTAATTAGAGGGTGATTTTGGTTATTACGGATAGATAGGGGTTTTTCGTTATTTAGCCTACGTTCAAGGGAGTTTTCGTAATTTACCCTTTGAATTTTTCTCATGTAAATTTATATACTTATTTTAATATTTATTATACCAATAAAAAATATTATGGTTAAATCGTGATTTTTACTTATGTTTTTGTAATATATTTTATCTTTATTATATATCCTTCAATAGTGATGTTGACCATTTTTTGTCTAAATCTGGCGAAATCTCAAAACACGGAATCTGGCATGTTATTTCAGTTAAATTTCTAATCCAACTTGAATCACCAAGATTAAATGTCCGATGAGAATGATATGTATGAATCAATGAACAATGTCCACAACTTTAATGATTTGAATTATCGAAAATTCAAAATGTAACTGAACATCATCCATTTTTTAACGATAATGAGGAAACACTAAAATAATTAGGGTAAATTCCACTTTCCTCTCTTGTACATCGGTTTGGTATCACTTTACCCCATTATACTCTCAATTATCGATCCCCCCCTGAAAAATTGTCTCAATCTTGCCCTCGTTGTTAGTTGTCTGACATTTGACATTAACACTGTCTGATCTAAGCTCTGAATTACAAAAACTCCACCCCTTCATGTTTAAATACTTATAAAAAAACTAAAAAAATAAATAAAAAATAATAATAAAAAGTTCAAGACAGCGAGTACACATAGTCCACGACGCCAGCCACAATTAATTTTTTTTTTTATAATAATTATTTAAAATGGAAGGGGTGGTTTTTTTTAATTTTCAGACTTGGGTCAAACGGTGTTAATGTCAAAGGTTTTCACACTGACGGCGAAGGCCACATTGAGACAATTTTTGAAGTACATGGGTTCAAATCGACGCAATAAAAAGTGGACCAAATAATTAAGATGAATATGAGGAAAAAAAAAGGTAGTTGAGTCATGAATAAATATAGACAAAATAATATAAAACTAAATATTTCAATAAATATAGACAAAATAATATAAAACTAAATATTTCAATATTTAGGAAAATTAGAATTGAAAGAAATTATCAATCACAATATTTTTACATAGTTTAGTTTATACTATTATTTTGCTAACAAGTTAAATAAAAATTTAAAAAATACACAAGAAAACTAATAAGACACGTGCAACGCACGCGCACCTGCCTAGTAAGTTTAAATACATATATACAATTTGTTTGTTGTCTAACAACACGTATAATATTTAAGATGATGACAAGGAAATATTATATGTATACACTAGTTTTGCAAATGATGGGGAATGTCAACTCTCTCCATTAGTTGTTGGTCACATTATAATTATAACTGAGGGAAAATTACGGTCACTCCCAATGTACGGCTAAATTACGAAAAACACTCTCTTATTTAGGTAATTACATCCACCTCTCATTTTAAATATTTTTATATAAAATTTATGTAATTCGATTATTTACCGAACCAAATCGTATATTTAGTTCAGTAAACGGTATGAAATGTTGGCGTCCCAAAATTTTGGTTCGATTTTAACGATTTAACATCCCTAAATTTACCTATGGGCCAAATTTTCGTAAAATGGTGCATAGTTGAGGGGGTGGCTGTAATTACCCAAACAAGAGGGGTGTTTTCGTAGTTTAACCATAACTCAAGGGTGGCCGTAATTTGCCCTTATAACTAATTTACCCAAATTGTTTTTTCATTTAAATGATAAATTACCAAGTATAATTTTTATTTCGGATGATTGTTATTTCGGATGATTGGTATTATAAATATTAAATTAATGTCGAAGAATTCATCTTAATGATGACAACAAAATTTTGAATGTACTATATATATATATCGCAGGTGTTGTTAAAACTTTGGTCGAGAAAAATAATGTAGGAAAGAGTAACTGTAAGTCTTTCATCAAAATCATCAACATGTTAATGACCAAGGCAAATTCGTCAGAAGCTACAACCTCATAAGCAGGTAACAAGAAAATCAATCAATTTTTATGTACATTTTCCGATCTCGTTATCCACCCGGTCTTAGCCTCCGATCTTTCATCCCTGCCACCTAATTAAGGATGCAAAAATCTTTCAAAATTCATATGTACACAATTAGCTTCTCGACACATAGTTCAATGTTCAAACACACAAAGAAACTTCGCACTCAAATTTTTCCATCAACAATACTTGCTCTGTTATTCATCTTAATGGGCGAATCAATTTTGATGCCTTTACGACTCTTTGGGTCCACTTGTGGTTGACCACTTCTAATGATTTTTCGAGATTATCACAAGCTGTAGAAATATCTTCCTCCGTGATCGGAGACTCGTTCTTCAGGGCAAAAATTACTTCATGGGAATCATGTTCAAGCAGCTGGAGGAAGAGGAGGCTTTTCCCAAATACCTGCCGTAAAAAAAAAACGAACTTAGCAGCATGAAATGCTTTGGAATCATCTTTCTATTTCTTTTATTTTAATTTTGTGAAATGCGTTCGCTTCTTACCTTCTTTAAACTCGAATGTATTGCAACTTTCACGGTTGGGGAGTGAAATACCACATTAATGACGAATAGACCTTCCTCGGAAAGCGAGTTTTTTGCGTTCTGAAGAAAAGATTCCTCAACAAAATCTGCTGAAGGACAGGTCAAGCCAGAACTGCATGCACAATAACAGTACAAAGATGAAACAAATAAAATGAAAACTAGACAGAGCAGAATAAATCTATATATTAAAACCGGCATGCATTGCCTTAATTCTGGTGAGTCCACATCAACTATAAGTATGTCAAGTTTGCTGCAAGAGGATTCTCCTTCTGCATGAACAACAACGCAAACTTTCAGTAACGAGCGTATCATTATTTGTCGGTGGAATGTATTTGAATTTATTTACCTGCCTCAGAATCTGCTTTCTCCCTCACAAATTGAAGTCCATCAGCAATACGTACCTGAGTAGGAAAAAGAGAGAAATAGATTAAACATTGCAGTTTTAGAATATAACATGGCATATCCCAAATAGTACTCTCTGTGATCGAACTGTATAGAGCGTTGAAGTATTTCCTCAGGATTTCGATTTCCTGATGCTCCATTATGCAATTTTTTCACATTCATCTTTCAAATAAATTTATTATACCATCACATTTGCAGAAGAAATCCAGAGAAGATACTAAACAAAACATACTCCTAATTACATCTACCAATCTTTCATCAGAATTTAAAAACTCGACTCAACAAACCGGAACAGAGAAATCTCGTTACGATGAAAACCTTACTAGAACTATAAAAAATAAAATACGACATTTTACCCTTAATCGTCCATCTTCTGTAAAACCGAAATATTTTTGAGCAACATCCAAAACCACAGGATCTACCTCAACAACCTGTCAAATTAGAAACTTGCATGCATGAGAAAAAGATAGCAAAATAAAAATGGTACTCAGTGGTTCAGTATTTCATTATACCTCAATATTTAGAGTAGGTAGCCAATTCTTCATAAACATAGGAAGCAATCCTGCTCCAAGACCGATAACCACTGTTTCCACCTGGAAAAAAAAGGGAAAAAAGCCGCCACTTTCAGTTTAAGATCGTATTGAAAAGCAAAGCCACCAGAAACTAAAGAAACAACTAGAATAGTTATAATAACTAAAACAATAATATTCTGAACAATATTAAGAATAGTAGTGCAGTACTAGTATACTTAGAACTCATAATTATGAAAAGAGAGGTTAGAGAGGTTAGCTTTTTTTCCTCCTTGCTCGGTAATTTTTAACGGATACATCCAAGAAAATGTAGATGGCTCACCATAGCCCCAGTGGAGCTAGATCCTTTCAGACGAGGAGAAATCAGCATCAATCCAGAAATAATTATATTGTGGTACGTATGTGCCAAATAGTTGTGATCAACTTTCCCTTCATCACTTGATGCTCTGCCACTACTACTTCCTATTGATATAACAGTAATAACTGTAAAAAGATATGTCGATTCTTTGCTCTGTAAATAATACTTGTTCTATGATTTACAGGGAACCAGAAATCTATTTGCATGTCAAGGAAGATGAACTTGAAGTCGACAAATCCTATTAAATATTTGGGATTGAGAGATTCAGAAATAAGCTGATCGGTGAACTGTAAACTCATTGAAGTACGAAGATGCAGAGAAATTTTTATTTAACTAGGCATAAAAACAAACATAACTCGGGTACAAACTTAAAATGTAAACATCGCATTTTTCAGAAGTTAAAAAAGAAAGAGCATAGCTCAAAGCGACCCTCACCAGGTTTCCTCTTCTGTCCTTTCTTCTTGGTTTTTGAAGGAGTCTGCACTTTCTTTTCCTCTACTTCACTCGATAAAAGGGCTTCCGATTGCATTTTGTTTTCCTTTGCTTCACTCGATAAAAGAGCTTTTGATTGCACCACTCCATGGGTTCTTTCGAAAGTAAGGCGGCGGAAAACAACATCTTCTATTTTACAATTAAGATCATCATCATCATTCCGACCCTGGTCCTTAAGGTAGACTACTTCGTCTACAACAATTGTACCCGTCAAACCAGATGTAACCTGGATTAACCAAACCAAAGAAATATCGAAAATGAGCAAGAGATATCCAAACTTTTGAACCATGTAAAAAAATAGAGAAGATAGAATAGTTATCGAACCTGGTGTACAATAACTTGATCCTTAAGCACTTCATTTGCAGTCATAAACCTGAATAAAGATCCATTTATCATTTTAGTAGGAGAAGTTGCACATATAAGACTGTAATTATGTCCAAAAAAAGACAAGACAGATGCAAAAGAACGATGAAAACTTGTAAGCTACAAAACAAAATACACATCAACAGTGATGTCGATATCACTTTTCAAGAATAAAACAGTACTCACACAAGAAGACAGCAAGATTAAAAAGAAGTATACAAATGAAATCTACTATTGGATATTCTATTAATGGACAAATAGTTGCTGATTTGCACTTACGTAATTTGAAATTCAAAACCACAACATCCTAGAACCAATTGCCTGACTAAATGAGTGAGATCCATCTGAAACAAGGAAAACCAAAATTTTAAGAAGCCGTCAAATGTAATTACAATAATTTACAGATATTGAAAGTATAGTTGGATATTACCTCGATAAGCTCCATAGAAGCATAAAAATTGCTTGAATCTAGTAAAATCTAAACAAATCCAAATAATTTAATAATTAAAAGATGTCATACAAAAAGATAAGAAGGAAGAAAATAAAATAAGTTTATCCGTGCAGGAAAGATCTTACAATCAGTGACCTAGCAGCCTTCAAATATGCGGCAAAGCGCATTAGTCCTTCTTCTGATGAAAAGAACCAGTCATCAACTCGTGTCTGAAATTTAAAATTTAGTCACACGACAGTTGGCTAAAAAGACAAGTGCATCGAATATGCAATAATAAATAAAATAAAGACATTGCAAACAATGGTGCATGCTAGTTGAAGCTGGTTTAGTTGGAATTGTCAAAGGCATAAGTACAAAGGTGAAAAACAGAAGCAATGCTGTCCTAATCCTTTTGACTATAGCTAAACTGTAAATTAAATGACAGGAAAAGCATAATATATCCTACGGAAAAAGAAATAACAAATAAAATAAATAAATTAAAACATTTCTACTTGATAAATGTTTTATTCCGTAAGCTCAAAATGAGGATGCTGAAATTGGATAATACAATCAAAATGAGCAACTTAAAAATAAAGTCATGTAGAACTGTCTTCAGATTTTTATGAATCGAACTACAAAAGCATGTCAGAGTCAATACAAGTAAAATAAATAAAAGTACAAAGAGTAAGATAAAAGACTAACACTTGGAACGACGAACACAGCAAATTGTTGTGGGATAGTTGCAGATTGTTCCTCAGCATCAACAAGTATACCCTTATAAAAACGGGGTCCTTTGTCACCTAAAATAAGCTTCACCGTACGACCTGGTTCGAAGTCTGTAAGGTTTCCAAGATTCAGGTCTTTCAATGTGTATAATTCTGATCGAAATTTTTGTTCTCTTTCAAATGCTTTGTAGAATCCATGAGCCTAAAACACATTGAAAAGGTTAAATAATCCCTTCCTACAGATATAGCTGTGAACAATATGTTGAATTGAACTAGCAAAGAGCATCAAAAGCACTCAGCTCTTAAAGCATCATATGAAGTCGAAAAAAGGTGAAAGTGCTTTTACCTGAGTACCGTGAGATTCAACAGAGTATTTATCCATAAATGATGATATCATTGGAACAGAAACACCATTATCTTTCTCAACAACCACCATAAAGGTCGTCCGCAGGTTTCGGTTTTCAGAGGATGGTTCATTAGAAATGGTATACAGACTCATTTTCCATCCAAACCGGAACATGGAGAAAAGTAGATCTGAGGAAAATATATCTTTACATTCACCGAAATAGAATAAAAGAAAACGAGGGAGAAGTGAGTTTTGCAGCATCATGCCAAAGCTTTTCACCAATATGGTACGAGGAACAATACCTGGGACATGGGATTCTCCTAACGTGAGACAAATATATTTTCTGCGATGTGTTAAAATCCTTTTTACCTGTTAAATACACAAAAATAACAGGATAGTAAAAGCTTTTGCATACTCAAAGAAAAAAAGATCCAAGTCGATCGGTATCGCTTTCAGAGGATATATACACCTTAGAAATATACTGATTCCCTGGTGTACAGCCAAGCTCAGGCACCATTAATGCATCCAATCCTCCTTTGTCGATAATCGCGTCGAAGGTCTTATCTCCAAACTGAACAGAATGCAAAAAACACAATTAGAAAACAAAATTTCATGCTGTGCTTATACTTACGGAGTGCCAATTTGGATATTACGTGTTTGCATTGGAAAACAAAATAAAACGATTGGAAGAAAATCTATTATGAATAACTTTTGATTTACGAGTACCCTATTTGCTGGATTCCAAGCCCTGTACTATTTTGGTTATTAACGGTAACAAACAGTCCTTCAGATAAAACATATCATCATCCATCAGTCATCAACATCGATAATTCGGCAGCACAAAGCGACAACAACTTCACAGTAATCACTTGCAACTAAATTCTATAAAAAATAATTAAAAAAAATAAAAACCATCAACAAACCATCTCTGTGTACAATTTTTCATTTTCTGATAACTGGAGAAATAAAATGTCGAATCCCCAAATCAACCGAAAATCCAAAATCCATTTTCTCAATTCAATTGCCTCATTAAAGCCACAATAACTTCACAGTAATCACTTGCAAATAAATTCTATAAAAAAATATTTAAAAACAGCAAAAATATATAAAATGACGAAGAATCGGAAACAGCAATTACCGGCATAACAGTGATATCCATAACCTGCCACTTCATCTCCGGCCGTTCTACCGTGTTCCTCCTCGACATTTCAGTAATCACCACCTTTGAGAAATCCACATTCGTAATCTGCTTGAATCCAGCATCGTACAGATGCTCCGAAAGCTTCGAGTTCCCACACCCCGGCACCAAAATATTCAGATCCGCCGGTTGTACGGACGGCGGCGCGTCCACGGCGGATTCCGGCAGTAACACTGGCAGAGATGAGAGGTGGTGAGTGAGTAGACTCTGGAGTTGGGGCCAGTCGGCATACCACTCGAAATAATCGGCGGTGCATCTAATTTTGAAAAATTGATCCCAATTCGTTTTGTTCTTCAAGTCTGCGAAGGTTCTGAACAGATTGTTTTGTTCTGGTAGTTTCTGCTGTTGCTTCTTCTTTCTCCCCATTTTTTTTGGCTATGGCGGTGCGTGTTTTGGGTGTGAGATGCGGTTATTGGGTTTTAATTTCAGAGGGTGCAATTTGAAATGAAAGAAAGAGGGAATGAGAAAAGTTGACGCGCGCGGCAATTGGAATAATCGGAGAGAGAGAGAGAAAGAAGAGAGAGAAGAGCCGTAACTGTTTTCTGTTAGTAAATTAGATTTCGTGCATTATCAGCTTTATTAATTTCTGACTGGTTAATTACTTGGTATTTCAATCCAACCTAAAGTGCACATACAATTGTTGAATTCTGTAAATAAATCCTAAATTATTGGGTAAACTAAAACCACCTTAGATGTATGGTTAAATTACGAAAAAACCCTTTTTGTTTCAGTAATTACATCCACCCCTTAACTATAAGTGTTCTTACATATCCAATCTTGCGGTTTCACATTTAGTGGAATCTTCTAAATTATATGGAATATTCTCAATTTTGTACCCGTTTTATTATATTCGAGCTCCACAATTTGAAGCAAGATGATCATAAAATGTGTGTTTTGGCTTGTATACATCAGATTATGGTGCATTCAGAAACTGTATTTTTGCACAAAACGAGTACAAAATACAAAATAGAGAACATTCCATGGAATCAAGAAAATTACGTTGAATTTGACACCATAAGGATGTAGATGTAATTAAGAAGATTCATAATTAAAGGAGTACATGGAATTATCCAAACATGAGGAGTTTTTGTTCGTAATTTATATATAAATACAAAAACATCGCTTGTGTGAGGAATGAAGAAAATACGGCATCACTTGACAACTTGTTTTCTAAAAAAAAATTAAAATTCTCGTAAGCATCTTTTGTTCACATTTTGGAAATAAAACTTGTTATAAGTGGAACTTTAATTGATCAACATGAAAATCATAATGTATAAAATGAGATATATAGACAACACAAATTCATAACAATAGAAACGAAATGAGAATAAAATCAACAAACGTAAATGGCTTCATCTTGCGCGATCGTCCGTACATGCTTTCTTCTGCTCACGCTTGACCTTTGAACCAACCCCTGACCCTACTGCTCATCTGATCGAATCATATAAATTACATACATAAGTGTCGCTTAGTAACTTCAGTCAGAACAATTAATCACACAAATTTTCTAAAAAGTCGAAACTCTTTAACACAAAATCTCACATACTCGCTCGTTTCAATTAATCATGCACGTACAACAACCAACATTTGTAGGAACATTGTATTTTAAAATTCCATACACTAATTCAATGATATAATAATAACAAACAATTATGAATTTAAATATGAATGCAATGCACATGATCATCATGCTTGAAAGTACATTAATTTGTTACGAATTATGTATGTTCATACGATCATCGTACACCAGATGCGAAGCTTGTTATTTTCTTTTTGTCAAATCATTTATTTAATTTTATGTAGATATAATAAATAAATTGAGGATAAAGAAAACTTGAAACTACACTTACACTGCTAGCCTCGGAATCTTCTTCGCCCCATTTATTTGTTGCATTATGAAACTGAAGCTCATCCGTATTAGGCTCATCCGTATCAGTATGATCCACATTCTGTTATGTGGCAATTTAGAAATACAAGTGTACAGTTATAATTAAATATTTTCAACTTAATTAGCAAGAATATGATTTAACATTTTTATACTAATGTGCAACACGAGATCAATTAGTTATGATTTATGATTTACACTATTTTTACTCTAAAGTCGAAGTTACAAAAGAGATGTTTGCCAAGCAAGACAACATTATCTGATATGAAATGGCATATACAGTTAAACCTCTATAAATTAATGCAGTTGTGACCATCATAATTCCATTAATTTAGCGAAATATTTACTTATCGATAAATTAATAATTATTAACTTATACATTAATTAATAATTTCTTAATTTATGAAATTATTTTTATTATTATTTTCAATAAATACATGTTTTTAAATTTTTTTACTTGTATATTATTTATTGTACCATTAGCTCAATGCACTATAAAACCCGTTTCACAAAAAGAAGCTCTTAAAGCATGAAGGGTATTGAACAATTTCATGTTGATTTATGCGAAAGCTATACCAGAAGTTCTAACCATGTTAAGAAAAGTGAGGCACGAGATTGATGGTAATGTGAACTTCAATAAGAAACAAACAACAAATAAATTGTATTTTATTAAACCTTCATAGAACTATAAAATATGCATTGTACCATGTAATTAGAGAACTACTTTTATGAATTAGTAATTTGTATATTATATAGGGCTTCTTAAAATTTTGGAATATAATGTGTATTATCTTATAAATTGCGAATTATTAATTTAGCAAGTTACGTTGTACTCGAGTCGGACTAGGAAAATTTATTATTTAAGCGAGGTTATTAATTTATCGAGGTTCTACTAGGTTGATTTTTCTTGCAGATTCTGAAGCTTGGAAGGATTTTGATAAGCAATATCATTGATTTGCATAAAATCCTCAGAATTCAAAACAAATAAGCCTGGACTAGCTAGATAGTTATAAATTTAGTCGTTTTGATAACATGAAATATTCGTGTAGGTTATGACATATAACATACAACATTGGCATGAACGAACCTGATTTGACGATGTTCCGTCGGGTTCCCCATCTATGATTATCTGAACGAGATATTGATTCATATATGAGAATATTGATTGATGATTAGGAAAAAAAATATAGAAATTTCGAGTCCGAACAAAAGATGCAAAAACTAGAGAATCAATAAATTTCCATGCTACAAATTTATGGATGGTAAACGATCTATCTGCATACGGTGAATTGTTAAATATGGGATTCTATGTGCAGTATTATTTAGCATGCACAAAAATACCACCGTATGTGCATACTGGATATATCACCGTATTTTTCCTTAGATTTTTAAAATTTATTATATATAGAATTGTTAATACTGGATATGTTTAATATATAATAATAATTGTGTGAGAATAATTAATTTACTTAACATTATTTATATAAGTTTTATAATCATTATACATTGTGGCATTGTTGTATCATGTATGTATGTTTATTGTTAGGTAATTTTCAATAATGTGTTCTGGCCCACCGATAAATATTCTTGTATTCTTTAAGGGGATCACAAGTTTAAATGCTGCAAGATTCATTTTCTCTCTCATTTCTCCCGTTTCTTTCTATCTTTCTATCAATTTCTATTTCGAAAAGATTTTTGCGCTTCTTCTTTCATCCTGGGCTTATTTAGAGTTTCCAAATCGACTATAGTTGACTATGGATTACTACGGATGCCTTGCGGTTGTATGAATCAAAGGGGCAGCGCTATGATTTAAAAAGGACAGATGTAGGGTTTCCAAAATGGCCGTAGTCGATTACAGACGATCCTATAGTCAACTACGAATGACTAGCTAGAATTACAACTTTCTTAAGCCCCAACATGTGATAACGAATGACTATAGTTGACTACGTTATTTGTAGACGACGTTCGACAAAGTAAACTTATTGACATAAAATATAAATTAAAAAAATTAAAAAATAAATAAGTAAGACAGATGCAATAAATTTCAATTACATTAAACGAAAAGAAAATAAAAATTATTACCTCTTCCTGATCATCATCGTGGGGTGGACGAAGTTGAGGGCCGGCGGTGTTGAAGTTCTTAGCCAACAAATTCCGCATAGAATGGCTATCCAAGAAATCGGCCGCCGGGTGTTGGTGGTCGTATTGTCCTGCGCCGTAGCAACTGCAGCAGAGGTCGTAAGTGTCGGGGTGATTCTTTTCGCACGGTATGCATGAAAAGTAGGCGCCCGGCATCGACCTCGCGCACGCATGGCAAGTTCGAAGGGGGCCTTTCGTCATTATGAAGTGGAGGGCCAAGACTTCGTCGAAGTCCAAACTCTCGTCGCCGTTTCTGTCGAGGCCGGTGAATAGCGTGTCGTTTGCGTACGGACGGCTCACGAGAGTCTTGTACTCCGCGAGGCTGACCCTGCCGTCGGAGTCGCCGTCGAGTGATCGGAAGAATTCTTTGGCCAATTCTTTCTCCTGATCTGTTGCTCTCGCGAAGTAGGCCTTTCCCACAGCGCGTAACTCGTCCATTATCTCTCTGTGTTTTTCTTTCCCTTTTTGCCCCTCTCTCTCTCTCTAAAAAATACAAAAGGAATTGCAGAAAATGTTTGGATGATTAATCGTGAAGGCTTTGAGAAGGTTATTGATTCGAATATTATAAATAGTTTCTCTTCCAATTTCACATTTTTTTAAGATGACTAACAAAATTTTATATGTATTATTTAATTAGGTCAATGTTCTAATATCATCTCCCTCTAACTAATTGTTTTTTTTCATTTATATATCCAATTAACATATTTCCTTTTTTTTTCTTTTTTTTTGGAAGTTTCAAACACTTGACAATGCATAATTTTAATAAGAAGCAATTTGAGACAAAAATAAATAAATAAATAAATAAATAAATAAATAAAGAAAATACTAAAATCAAATAGTATTAAGGTGGTGTTTGCAAATGCTTTTTGAAAGTGATTATGCGGTTTTTTTTGCTCATAATCTGTTTTTAGGTGTTTGCAAAATCAACTTTTGCTTTTGCTTCTCTTAAAATAATCTACTTTAAGCTATTTTTTTAAAAGCACCCCTAACCCTGCTTTTTCAATTTTAGTTCATTTTCCGAATTTTTTGCAAACACCCCCAACTTTTAAAAATAAGCACTTAAAACTAACTTAAATCACAATCACTAACTTCTGCTTTTAAATAATCATTTGCAAACACCACCTAAATGTACGAACAACATATTTATTTATTTCAATAAAAGTCCGTCGTCTATTTAACAAATGTCATCACGCCATTTCAATTGAGTCAACTCATTTAAATCAGACAATTAATAAGTTGTAAATGAATTGATTTAATCCATTTAACTTTGTTGACTTAATTAATTTAAATGACATGTGACAAACTTGGAACATAGAAAAAAAAATGATAAACTAGCTCACATATATATGCCTAAGAACTTTATTGAAATCATACGAAGGATCTTTCATTCTTTACTTTTAACTAGTACAATTATGCAACCTAGTGAGCTATATTCCTCTAATTCTTATAAATAATAAATCAAAACTTTAATCACGATCGAATACCCCAAAGTACTAAAGAAAGAACAAGAGGGAATGGGTACCCTTCTTATAATATTGACTTTGACTTTTTCTTTCTTCTTTATAAAAATATAAAAAAAAGTAAATAAATAAGTCTTTGATTAATGGTCGAAATAGACAGAATCTGGGCGAGTTGAAATATTCTCGAAAAAAGAAATAGTGTTTTTTTCTTTCCCTTTTTGCCCCTCTCTCTCTCTCTCTAAAAAATACATAAGGAATTGCAGAAAATGTTTGGATAATTAATCGTGAAGGCTTTGAGAAGGTTATTGATTCGAATATTATAAATAGTTTCTCTTCCAATTTCACATTTTTTTAAGATGATGACTAACAAAATTTTATATGTATTATTTAATTAGGTCAATGTTCTAACATCATCTCCCTCTAACTAATTTTTTTTTTTTTTCATTTATATATCCAATTAACATATTTCCCTTTTTTTTTTTCTTTTTTTTTTTGGAAGTTTCAAACACTTGACAATGCATAATTTTAATAAGAAGCAATTTGAGACAAAAATAAATAAATAAATAAATAAATAAACAAAATACTAAAATCAAATAGTATTAAATGTACGAACAACATATTTATTTATTTCAATAAAAGTCCGTCGTCTATTTAACAAATGTCATCACGGTGTTATTAGGTAGAGGTCTCCCAATCTGCTTCTGAAAGAGCCTTCTCCGTTTCAATTGAGTCAACTCATTTCAATCAGACAATTAATAAGTTGTAAATGAATTGATTTAAGATCCATTTAACTTTGTTGAGTTAATTGATTTAAAAGACATGTGACAAACTTGGAACAGAAAGAAATTTTTTTTTTTTGATAAACTAGCTCACATATTGAAATCATAAGTAGGGTCTTTCTTCTCAATTTAGTCTTAACTATAGTAATTATGCAACCTAGTGAGCTAGCTATATTCCTCTAATTCTTATAAATAATTAATCAAAATTTAATCACGATCGAATACCCCAAAGCATTAAAGAAAGAACGAGAGGGAATGGGTACCCTTCTTATACTATTGACTTTGACTTTTTCTTTCTTCTTTATAAAAGAATAAATAAGTCTTTGATTAATGGTCGAAATAGACAGAATCTGGGCGAGTTGAGATAAAGATTGTAATTTTCAAGAATTCGTCGGTTAGCTTCTAAATCATCTAATTGGACAATTTTCCTAGTCATCTTCACGATCACAACAAAATTTTGTATTTTATAATTAGGTCCAGCGAATTGTTGTGAAACATTGGTTACTTGGAAAATGCTAAATAAATTTGAATTAATGTCAAATAAATTTTTAATATGGACATTAGTGCCACCCCCAATTTGTTATCTCTGTCAGAACCTTAAAATTTTAGGAGTGTATAATATGTTTATCTTCTCTAGTGCTCTCTTCTAGCATTTTCAAATATGTCATGTGGCATGAGACTCCCAATTGGAGTGTCTACATTTAATTCATGGCCGGGGAGTGCATGTGGGGCCCTTTTAATAATTTTAACGTATTTTTTGAATGACGTGCCAAACCAATATAACTTTAATTATTTATTTTTCTTTTTGTTTTTCCTTTTTGAGAAGTAGTAATTAATTCTAATAATTATTTAATTATTTTATGGTTTTTAGAAATTACAAATTTAAATTTCATTGATTTTAATATTAATAGTAAAAGAAATGTTATATATTCATTACTATGATAAAAACACTTATATTTAAATTTTAATAATTCAGTTCTACTATAATAATACAAGAAATATTTATTTTACAATAAATTTTAATTTCGTTTAATTTTAATTTTAATTTATTTGATTGTTCCACGTATATCTCTCATATTGATCATTTTTATTATAAGAAATGTCAAAATAAATTTCATGAAATTTAATTTTACTAAATTCGATTACAATATAAAAATAATATGAACAATGTGAAAATAAAAGAACATTAAATCACAACTACAATTAGAAATACTCATAAGCAATAGATATTTAGACATCTACTTCTCCGTAGATATTCCACAAATGGTTCATTAAATCAGATCTCAAAACTTCATTGGTTCGTCGATTGCGGATCCGACTAAGACGTGCTGAGATATAGGGTGCCAAAATCGATGGATCTCGTTCATATTGAGGGGGGCGGAAATTCTCTTCTGGAAGTGGTGCCCATGGTTCGAGGTCAGTTCCACGCTCATATGAAGTATAATACATGTTTTTATTATATTACATATATCTTTTTTTGACCAATAACGGACGGGTCCTTGCGTTATACACCATTTAATTTGTAAAGCACCAATGCACGCTCCACGTCTTTTCTAACTGATTCTTGTTTTGCCGCAAATAATTTTTCTTTCGCAGTGGTGGGATGAGCAATGGTTTGAATAAGGGTTGCATATTTGAGGTAAATACCACCAGTTAAGTAATAACCCATCGTATATGAACGACCGTTCACCGTATAATTAACTGGAGGCATTCTACCATGTGTCATATTATCAAACAGTGGAGAATGGTCCAAGACATTAATATCATTATTTCCACCCGACATGCCAAAAAAAAATGCCAAATCCATGTATCATGCGATGCAACTGCTAAAATTAAAGTTGGTTTGTAGTGGTGATCCCTGTGTGTGAGGTGCCAAGCAGTTGGACAATTTTTCCATTGCCAATGCATACAATCTAAAGATCCAAGTATACCTGGAAAACCTCGAGATTCACCTTCTTGTAGGAGACGATGTATATCATGTGCATTTGGTGACCGCAAGTACTGTTCTTCATAAATTAAGTTCAATTATGGATGAACTAAACTCTCTTAAAGTTTCATTACCAGTCACCTCCCCTATCTTCAAATATTTCATCACAGTAATCAACGGATGCTCCACAAGCAACAATCCGAAGTGCAACAGTTATCTTTTGAATCGATGAGAAGCCAAGAAGACGACCACGTCCATCTCTCTTTCGGATGAAGTATCTGTTATGATTTTCAATATCTAACTGAATATGAAGAAACAACTCCATGCGCATCTTAAAACGCCTGCGAAAATTAGATGATGGAAAAGTACAATTCAGAAAAATAATATTTCCATAACAAGTTATGACTCTCTTCGCGAGCACGCTATATATTGTCGCTGATGCGGTTGTTCCTCAGATGCTAAAATTAATCCAGGGATAAAATTAATCATTTCTTGAGTTTCTTTCTCCATACGAAGAGAAAGAAGTTCTTCCTCCTCTGAAGATGATGATGAAGATGAATAACTAAATAATTTAATGTGTGCGAATTCATCTGAAGGAAACCATCCAGATGAAGAAGCCATATTTTGGGATAAAATTTATTGTGCATATAGAATTCCCTCATAGGACAATATTTGTAGAAGCTGGAAAATCAAGATAATTGAAGTTAAAAAAATTATTAAAATAATTAAAGTTGAGAAACCAATAAGATAATTTAATTAAAAAAAAAATAAGATAGCTAAAGTTGAGATACTCGAGAAAATAATTGAGGATTGGAAACCAATGTGATAATTAGAGTTGAAAAAAAAGTAAAAAATAATTGACAGAATAACTGAAATTGAGATAATCGAGAAAATAATGCACTGAAAGACAGTCTGTAAAGTTGAGAAAAATAATTGAGGTCTTCTGAAGCACATGTCTTCTACAATACTAAGATTGAGAAAATCGAGAAATATATCCACAAAATCTATGCAATAAGATAATTAGAGTTGGAAAAAAAAGTAAAAAATAATTGACAAAATATCTGAAATTGAGATAATCGAGAAAATAATGCACTTGTAGACAGTCTATAAAGTTGAGAAAAATAATTGAGGTCTTCTGAAGCACATGTCTTCTACAACACTAAAATTGAGAAAATCGAGAAATCTATCCACAAAATCTATCAAATGAAATAATTAGAGTTCTGTAAAAAATCATTGACAAAATATCTGAAATTGAGATAATCGAGAAAATAA